GTTATTAATCATTTATCATGATCATTTCTTTATAAGAAATATAAAAATTATTTTATTAAAAATTTTAAATTTATAAATGTTTTAAAAGTTTACAATTGTTCGAATTGAAAAAAATGAAAATTATTTATTTAAAAAATTAGATATTAATTTATAAATTTTAATTAAATGTCAGTTTTATAATTTAACAAATTTTATTTTTATAAATTTATAATAAAATTTTTTTAGTATATCTAATAGGAATTTAAAATTCTTGTTTAAATCTAAATTTTTAAATTCAAAATTTTCGTTATAAGAAATTTATAATTATTTTCTAAAACCTATTTGTTTTATAAATGAAACATTATTGTACGTATGCGTGATATGGATGCATAAATCAGATATGTAAAATATTTTTTGATCGTGTAAATATGAATGTATTGTATGAATAAATGAAAAATTCAAATTATACATACAAAAGAATAAAAAATTTTTTAAAAAAATTATTTTTTGTTGTCTTTATATTATTCTTCCAATTTTCCTATATACTTATGATATATTTATATATTCACAAAATAAAAAAAATAATGTTTTATTCCTAAGAAAAAATTTTAATATATATTATTGTTATTATATTGTTTTCAATCGTTGAAAGGTAAAGTAAGTAACGAAGTCACGTAAAAATTTGCAGCTTCATATATTTCTTTCTTTTGTAAAAATGAAAGGCGAGAACTTTGTAGCATTTCGGTATACATAATCGTCGCCATAAGTATGATTATTCTGCCCAGTACTAAATACAATTATATATTGAAAATAGCATTAATACGAGTTCTCAGAAGAGGTGACTATAATATCATTGTTTATATTTTTTACATTGTCGCTCTTAATCAATATTTTTATTACTCTTTATTACATATCTACTAATTATAGTTCTTGTTACTATCTCTTTTATTTGTAAGTAATAATAATAACATTGCTGGTCATCGGCGCAATCGTATATCTATACAGAATGTTCTAAAATAAGTAGTTTGCATTAAACTGAAATGATTTCTTCTAGAAAAAAATAATATGTAGTGAAATTTTTCACATAGTGAAACAATTTTTATTACCTCTTATAAAATTTTGAGATAATTTGTGAAGAAATCATTTTTTTTATATGCAATACTGCATATTTTAGAACACTTTTTATTACTTTTTTACATTTACATTTAAACGCTTCATAAATGTTCAAGACGCATTTGTCGTATCTATATACAATATTTATATCACTTGATCGATCTTTCCATTGATTAAAGGAAAATTGTAAAATGTTCATAATTTCGTGATTTTTAAAAATTTTATATATATATTAAAGACACTTTATTCTATTATGATTTTTTCGGATTTTCAATTCCGTTAAAATGTTTCAAAAACATTAAATTGCCATTAAAAATGTAATGCGTCGTAATCTATGTCATTTGCCTCAATATCAATAAGTTTGCGATGTATCATTTTAAATAATACTTTATGTTCTTTTTAACAATCTGTTAAATATTTCTTTTACACAGACAACAAATATATGGAAATATATGTACATTATGCTTTTTACATCGTAGCATTAAGTAAGACACATTGAAATTATTTAGTAAAAACCTTGAAATTTCATTCCATAAAAGTTGCAAAATTCTATATTTTTATCGATAATAATATTTTCAATAATCTTGGTTCAATTCATCAATTAAAATCTTCATCATTCAAGGTTTTTTAATTAAATGTTAGTTAATTATTTGGACCTACTGTTATTTCTTATTTACATTATGTATTATACATCTTATCTTAATTATAATAGAATTATCGCAATGAGATTCGTGAAGCAAAAAATTATTGATAAAGCAAAGCAAAATTATTTACAAAATCTTTTTTCTCCTTATCAAATGCATGTTTTTATTCGAAAAATCACTCAAGAATTATCTTTCAATTGTTAATTTTTTTACGTAATTAATTTTTAATCTAAATTAAATTTGAAGAGTCTTTTTAAAAATAGAAATTTTTTAAAATATTAGATTTCTTGCAGATTTGCAAATTTTTCATATAATATAATAAAATAAAAATATAATACATAATTATTAATTTAAATAATTTCTATAAATTATTACTGTATTGCTTTGAATAATTATTTTGATTAAATATATATAAAATTTTAATTGTGAAATTTAACATTAATTATTCATTATTTTCCAGAGATTCTTCCAAATAATTTATTTTTTTAATTAAAATCAGTGATCACATTTATATATGAGCAGATATCCTAATATTTAAATAGGGATATCTGTTTCCGAAATTATTATATATTGACTAGAAAGACGCTATTGTATTGCTAATTTTAAGAAAATTTTTTAAGTTCTGAAAATTTATTAAAAAAAAATTTTGCATTATTATTGTGATAGTGACTTTAATTATGAAAAAGACTTTATTCGTTGTAGCTATTTCTTTCGAAATAAAAGACTTCTCGTGTAAGGCACTAGAATTATTGTATGACCGACTTTATTAAGAAAAGAAAAGAGCATAAAGCTCATTTAAATTTGTATTGTTAATGTGTATTGTTAATATGTATTAGTTGCAGTATTAATTGCTGTAATATTTACTGCTCGAAACGATCAAAAAATTACATTATATCAAAAAATGTATTCTATTCAAGTAATATAAATACTATTCATTTTTTAGTTATTAAAAATGTAAAAAAGAATTATTTATATAATTTTAATTTATTAAAAATTATTAATCATTAATTTCTTAATCATTTCGAACAGTGAAATGTAAAATTTGTATTTTCTAAATATGTTATCAAAGATTTTTAAATTTTGACAGAACTTCTATCAGATGGTTGCATAAAATCTAATATGATTCATTTTTCGAACACTTTGCTTAATTTTCAGCGCTATTTTGTAATTTTTAATTATTATTAAGCAGGAAGACAAAGAATAGTACTTTGCCTTGCATGAAAATTATTCGCTAAAGCAAAGAGTAAACAGCAATATTCAATATTTATTTTTAGATTTTGCAATATCATCGAAAAGACGCAAAGTGCTTTTAATAATTATTAATCGTTGCACTATGCGTATTACATTATTAATAATTTCTTGCTCTAACTGTAAGTGGCTAGAAAGGCACTATATTTCACAGATAATTCCTGCGGATAAATGAAGAACTTCCATCTTTTGAATACAGAGAATATTTATTTTGAAATCTTGGTACAATGAAAAACAGGATAATTTTCTTATTTTTTATTATTAATCAAATGGATTATTAAATAATGTATAATGTATCTCTAAAATTCAATTTTTTAATTATATTTTTTCTTTTTTTACCTTTTTCTTTCTTTGAATTTATCCCATTTGTTCACTGCATCATTTTTGGCCCACTATGCATGTCTGCCTTTGAGAAAAATTACATACTATTTACATATTTGTATAATTGTACAACTGCAACTACTTATAAAATATTCCTTTATTTTTATTTTGAATCATTATATAGTATTATACAAATCAATTTATTAATATTTTAATAGTTATTATTTAATTGAAATATTAAAATTTCTTTCTAATATTTCGATTTTCTTCAAACATGAAATAAATTGATCAAATATGAATAGCATGGCAGTTAATTTTAAAATTTTATAGTTCACATCAAAATACACTATCTTACTTGTTAATTAAATATTTATTAATGTTTTATTAAATTCATGTATTGCTTTATGTAGATTACAAAGCTACGAGGAACTTCATAAGTACATTTTATGTAAAACTTGAATTTAATAAATTAAAATTGTTAAACAATAAAAAATCTCATTATTTAAAAAATTTTTAAAACTTTATAATACAAAAAATTTTTAAAGGACACAAAATATATGATTTGTAAAAGAAATTTAACTAAAAGAAAAATTTTAATAAAAATAAAAATCAAAAATATCAAGTTTAAAAATTTGAAATTTGAATTCCAATTGATGTATATGAATTTTTAATATAATATATATGAGTCACGTTTCAATATTCATGAAAATATATAAACCACAATATGCAATGGCTGCTAGAAGTTTCCAATTACAGTATAATATTATTACATTATTGAAATAATTAATTTTTAAAAAATAAAATAATAAACATAATAGTATAACTTATAAAATAACTTATAAAACTCGTATTATCAAATTTTTCATGAAAGGAATTTTATTATTAATAATAAAAATTTTATTATTACTTTTTTTAAAATAGATTTATAGTTTGGCTGGAAACTTTTGGCACCAATTTGAATTCATGATATAACTCAATAATTGATTTGGTAAAATAAAATTTTAACATTAATATGATACATAATTGATATAAAAATTAATTCCGAAAAAATAATAAAATTTATATATTAAACAAAAAAAAAAAAATAATATGATGTATGTATATGTCCTCAAAATTTCAATACTTACGAAATTAGTTGAATGCCACTCGTTGAATCTACCGATGATAGATAACCAAACATAATTTTCATAACACTAACACTAACCTCATTATATTTTGTTATGTAAATATATGATCAGCTGATTCCGCGAAAAGGAATACGAAAGAGATGTTAAATATAAAACAAAACAGAACAGAACAGAATGAAGATAATATAATAAAAACGAAGATATAATAAAAGAAAAATTTCTTGTAAAGTCATTTTGAAACTATCTTATCATTGTAATGCATCACTGTAACTATATAAAATATTTCAAATTTTATTTGTTTTAAAGAAGTATAATTTTTAAATATGCTCAGTATATTTAAAAATACTTAACATCGTTCATGCAGCTAAATTAATTTATCCAAAAAAATACGTTTAAACGATTGTCTTATTCAAGATGTTATTTTATATAATATATAATAAACAATTTTTATACAAAATATTTATTAGCAACAAGTGAAAAATGAATGATGTGAAATGAGATTATTTTTGAAGAACAATCGATTTTTCATTAAATCGAGATATAGGTATCAAAGGATTCTACTTTTTTCTTTTTTTATATATAAACTAATCATTTTATTTGTTCTGAGAAGAGTACGAATAAATATTTCGTCCGTCGAAATGTTTTTTCTTTTTAACAATTGTCAATTAATTTTAACAAGACTATGATTAAGACCGGGTCTAGCAAAGTTTAAATTTGCATACGTTTAATTACAAAATATCGTTAAGTACACCGTTAGCTATACATCCTTTCTGGTATGTTTATGGAAACTGTGTCTCGGTAATAATTATGAACAGACATAACCAAATTTTTTGTCTTCGCCTGTCATAACAAAAAAAAATTTCACGAATTATACGTAGAATGTCTGTTTTCTGATTTGCAAAAATGAAGATTATATAATTCAAAAATAAGTAAACTTATTTTTAATCAAATTTTTACGAAAGGAAATAAAATATTTATACAAATTATATGGATCGTCGTGTTGCGCTCCGCGTTTACGAAGATCATTTCGAAAAATCGTTTTCAGACTGACCACACGCGTTTGGTTCAATTCCAGCGATGAGCCAACCTCGACTATAACAGCAAGTTAGAAAAAAAAATTATAAAAAGCAACGTAGCTGTCCGAAATAGACGACTTTTCGACAAAAAATTTTTTTTGTCGTTATTTTCATCAGCGATTCTTAGACCAATATATGTTACGATTATATATAAAGCGTTCCAAGAATACATTTCCATAATTACAATCGTTTCAAAAGTATTTTCGAGGTTAACATTGTTTATTTAAACGATACTTTGTAAAACGATGTTATAGATATCATGTAATTCTAAGAGTGCCAACTTTCTAACCTCATATATAGATCTAAGAATCACTACTCACCATTGCAATAGATATAACTAGCTACCTATAAACATTTTTGTATACATATGTATACACATTAATATATAACATTTAAGCGACAATATACGCATCACAATATATCGTTCGGCGTGTCACATGAATCGTATCGCAATAGATTACAATCCATGTTTCTGCTTTTATATCGATAAAAGCGGTTATACAAAAAAAAAAAAAAAAAAAAAAAAAAAAAAAAAAAAAAAAAAAAAAAAAAAAAAAAATAACTAATAGCTCGAAAAAAACTATTCGATCAGTCAATTGTGTTTTATAGATGCTTGTATTGCGTATGCGTATGGATGAATACGTATGACTGGTGGTACATGTTACATCGTATGCACGTATAACATCATCGTTCCGAACTGTACATGCATTTTTTTCTCTCATAATAGTCACATTTTTTACTTTTGCGCAAACCGCTAACTTGCATAATGTGTTCCTTTCTTTCACGTTAATACATGTATTTGGATTTGGAGGCAGATCTTAATGAAGACTTTCGCGATAAAATTTGTAAAATTCCACTCACTTATATTAATTTCGTCATATCTTTCAAAACTGTACAAAATTAACCGAGAAAACAGTACTTGTATATAAATTCAACATTTCTTCTAGATTCAAGTCTATGGACTATTGTTTATTAAGCATGTGTTTGTTTCTTTGCATACATTATACACATTTTTAACAAATTGATTGCTTTTCTTTTATCGTCGGTGCTTCATAAACGCGTTCGAAAAAAAGGAAGGAAAAAGAGACCTGGTTCGAACTTTTATCACAGTATCGTATTACTGTAGTACGAAGCTCTCGGGCATTTTGGTGCGAAACATAGCTGGCACGCGGAAATTCTCTCATTTTCTCTCACTTTTCTTAGATACACGCACACATGCATTCGTTCTATCACTCGTGCATTGCACCACAAAGGAAGCTGGGAAGGCACAGTGTATGTACATATACTTATGTACAGCACCGAACGGCGATCGGAGACAACTATAGTAAATGTGGTACACGACATTTGAATGTTCATGAAAAATCATTATAAGATTATTATAATTCAATGTTGAAATACCGACTTACAGCATACAAAATTAAAGAATTTGAGAAAAGTTTTGTAAGTTTCTCATAATTGCAACATCGAATAGTAAAAATCTTCGACAGAATTTAATTAGATAGATAATAAACTGACGAATATCTAAATCGAGCAAATTTTTTTATATCTTTCAACTAACAAATCTTTCCTCGTATTTGATTAAATTCAATGTAAAAGCAGGAAATTTATATTACAAATATTATTATTTTAATCATTAAAGTAAAAGTCTTTTTAAAGATAACATAAAAACACTAAGTACTTCCTTTGATTCTGTTGGCAGTGTTCTCGTTTCTTGATAATTTAAATGGATTTTTAATCCATGTAACCAACGAGTTTTTCATATTCTCAAACACCATTGACTAGACCTTACCGGAAGCCCAAGTTTCTGCTTCCTTGCAGTACAATGATTAATCATAAACGAGGACATGGCCAGACAGTACAGACATTAAACTTATGATCAATACCATAAAAAAAGAGCGACATTGATCAATTTTACTCTCGCACTTTCCATGATTTCAGTTAATATTGTTTATATTATAATATTCTTAATGCAAGACACATTAACATCAAGCTTAAAAACATTAAATATCACTGACTAGACCTAGCGGAAATTACCGCTTCACTTTTTATGAAATCTCATTTAACATTATCAAGAAAGTACAACAATATTATTGACCAATCAAAAAGAATATGCAATATAATCAAGTTTTAGGATAAATGAAAATCGAGTACCACGTATACTATGTGTCTTCCGTTCATAGGCACAAGAATATAAAACGCTTTTGTCAAATGATTCTCGTTTTTCTGTTAATAAAACGACGCTGTTCCTGGATGTATGGTGGCGTACTTTGGTAAGACTGCTGGCGGCGATCCACGTCGTATGAGTATCCGTTGGCAGCCTTTAGGACGGAGCTTCGTCGCTGCTGCGTCAGTTTCACAGATCGGTCCTCTTGGAGGACGACGAGGAGGAAGAAGAGGCGCAAACGGACGAGACTGTGTACCTTCATAATGAGTTGTAGGGATCACCTGCATGGTGCTAGGAGTACTTCGAGCCAACATGGACAAGAGGTGACTTCCTGTCTTGAGTACTTGGGTCCCCAGCCTTTGGCGAAGCTGATACGGACGGAGTTGATATCAACAGGACCAGAGGCAAAGCCTGAAGCCTGATTGCTTGTTCTTGTGGTACCATTACCATATGGAAGCTGTAGAATTTTGGTACGATCAAAGATATTCAGACAAAAGCCTGGAGGCACACGATAGACAAGTAGTGTTCTAGACTCTGGATCATCCAGAGTAGGTGAATTCACAAAGATTGGGCTCTCAGATCTGTTATATGCCCACACACCATCTGCTTCTTGACTAAGCATTAAACCTACAAATAAGTAATTGATATTTTTTATCTTCAATAATATTTTTTCTTTGATAATTTTATGTTCATTAATTTTATTGATAATGTAAATAAATCTCATTAAATTATTTCATATTTTTACTAGAATATATTTCTACTATATGAAAAAAATCTTACCAAGACCAATTTTGCTTCTTGTTCTTTGGACTGCAGGTGGTGCAACATGATTTTTAGCCAATGTTGCTAAGCAAAGGCCATCACCATCATGGAGGGAATCAAAAACATTTACTGTTGAAGGTTCTACAGGATACAGACGACCTACTCTACCACCCAATTCCCAATATGCTAATGTACACCATTCTTTTTGTCCTGTTTCACCTGCAATATATAAATATTATTTTAAATTACAATTATTATCATTATCATAATTCTTAATAAATATTATATGAAATACAAGTAACAAAACTTGAAATACACCATCTTCTTAATTTTATCTTTTTTAGAATTTATTAAGAATAAAATGTTACAAATTGTATGATTGTAAACTTCTTTTATGATATGGCAAATCAAGTGCATTTGCATAATATAGTATATATATGGCATAAAGATATAATTTTAATAATAACGATTATTTTTTTTTTAATTCCTTTTTATAGAAAGAAAGAACTTAAATTCAACGACTATAAGCTTGTTAATTGAAAGTTCTCGATAGCGTGGGCATCAAAGAATTTAATCTGCCGTTTTTATGAAGAACTTCCATGAAACGCGATACAGACATGTCTCGAAACAAGATGAGATCTGTCATTAACGAGAAGTCTTTCTTTCTCAGTAAAAGTGTTCACTCGGTGAGAGGCTGCGGGCGTACAAGCGGTATCATAAAGGACTTGTCGCCGGAAAGTCCCACGCGTCTCGCCAACCGTGGGGAAGACGACGGCGCCAGATTCGAGAGTAGACAAGAGAGTAGACGGAGAAAGGAAAAAGAATCTGCTACGACGCAGAAAATGAAAAGTTACATATATTTAGGATATAATGAAAGATAATATTTTCAATTTGTCAAAATGATAAAATTTTCTAACAAAGTAATAAACAATACTATAATTTTAAAAAAAATACAAAAATAAGATTTTTTCAGATAAAAAGTATCTTTTGATAAAAATATCTTTTTGATTTTCAGATACTATAATAGAAACAAAGTATAAGAAAAAAAAATTAATTAATTCGTTGCAATAATGAAAAATATTTTCATGATATCTTCCTTAATAAAAATACTAATTTATTTTTTATATATACAAGAAATAAAAATTATTGCAAAGAATATATCGAGTGCTAATATTCGATTTACCTAATATAAAAATTTAGTAAATCATAAATTATTCAACTAGTATCTTTTCTTCGTTTTAACCGATGATTAATAACACCGGTCAACATTCATGTGATATAGAGTATTCTGGAGCAGATAAAACGTATTACAGGTGGACTTGATTGGCGCCGTTTTATCAGACAGTCTTAAAAAGGAACATCGAAAACGCTTTTAAATATGCAAAACACAGACGGAGGATAAACGACTTGACCAATAAATCGATCGTAACTTTTTGCTATAATTAACGTGTCGCCACGACATTGGCGTCCGAACCTACCCTAACCTGTTCCCGATCAAAACGTGTTTACGCCATCTTTTAACAGATTCGTGAACTTCAACTTATTGCTAACTTCTCAGCAGTAGGTAATATTTCGCATAATTGTTACTGCAAAATTTCAATTGAATTTAGCAATTTTCCGTCATTTCGGAATAAATTTGAATCAATGTTTAATGAAATAAGAATTTATACAAGACGATGAAAAGCAAATGAAATTTTAAAAATGAAGATAACGATAGATGGTAGGCCATATAGAGTTCGAGAAACTGATCATTTCAGCAGAGGCTGAATTTAGAGGTTAAGAGTCAGGAAGAAGAGATGTGAAATACGGGTGTGTCGAAGAGTACGTTCTAGCGTGTGCGCAAGGGGAAAGAGACAGAGCGGGGCTCCTGCTTCTACCAGATAAAAATAGATATTACGAGTTTACCGCGGCGCCAAGATTGCGGGGTATCGCGACGATTACGTCATCGGTAGTAGCGCGAGTGGTTGGAGCAAGGACGCTTGTCGCGTCGGTCGCCGCCGCCGTCGCCGTCGTCGTCGTGGTCGTCGTCGTTGTCGTGACGAACCACGAATTTTCGTGTCTATCTATGATCATCTATAACCAGCCGTTTTCGATAAACTCGTGGCTCGCCCCATTCAATCATGGCGTTTCGATTGCAAATGGACGCATGTGCCGCCAAATATACACGGTCATTTTCATCAAATATTATTCAAGTTTGAGAGATTTGATTTCTTTCTTCTTCTTTTTTTGAATATAGCTCGATATCAGATGAAATTTTTTATTCTCTTAAAATAAATGTTCGATCAAAATTTGTAGGTTAAATGCTTTTAAATAAAAGTAAAGTAACGAATAAAGATGGAAAAAACTCTATTTAATTAAATAGATGAATTATTACTTAGTAAATTTTATTATTCATAAAATTTTAATATAACATCCTATTTTAAAATTGTATGCTAACATAGATGATATGGAAATTATACAAATTTATTCGCAGAGGCCAAAGACTCTGATGTCTGAATAGATCAATTGTACTTGTTATGTTAATTACAAATTATAAAATTGTTTTATAATATATGGTAAGATATATTAAATAAGTATATTATGATAAATAATAATAATATAATATCCTATTACATTCTTCAATATCAAGTTGTTATCAAATTGTTTTTTTAATATTTTTTTCTTCTATGTACAATACGATTAGATTTATCAATTATTGACAATTATAGATTTTCACGAATAAGATATTCGATATTAATCAATTTTAAATGTATAAAATCTTTCAATCATCTACTAACTAAATGCTATATTGTCAAATAGCAATCTACATCAATTTATAGGTTAAAACTAACCAAATATAACATGATTGGCGTTTTGTCGATTGTTTTACTATAAAATGGCAGATTGTTTATCAAAGCGTATAATAGATCAAAATAGAATTCGTGCTTTTCTTAAACGTGTTTAAATTTGATGAAATTGCGATAAAAATTGTTTATGATTAAATTGTTTATGCAAATTCGTATTCTTATAAATGTAATTAAAAAAAATTAAAATAAAAATTTAGTCACTTTGCAAATATTACATTTTTTTTTAATAAAATTTTTCAAAAAATAAAAATTTCTAATTAAGAAATAAATTGTACTTTAATTATGAAAATTAAATGTTTTATTAAAGATTCAATTATTTCGTTTATAATTTAATGAATACCGTTATATCACAATATTAATAAATGCTGTTCGCTCATTTTATATTTATATATAAATAATTCAACAACCATTCAACATTGCTTACCATTATTAAGCTTCGCATGTTCAGACTAGCTTTATCGATCACCAACGATACTATGAACTTCAGTAGAAATAAAAGACGAGTAAAAAAGTATTCTTATTATGTAGTAGATTTAATCGATATTTTCAGATTTTCAGCAAATATTAATCATAAACAATCGTTTATGACTTTTAAAAAAAAAATCATAAGATAGTTTATGTTACGTGTTGATCTGATACATGGTAATTGAAGTAAACTACCATAACCTCTTCAAATTCTTTCATCGTGTTTGCAATAAAGTTATATCCTTCTAGTGTGATGTATGATGAATGGACACTTAATCACACTGACATCTTGGAAAGAACAGCATACTGACATTGCAACTTTCTCACGTAGCTAAATATTTTTGTGTTTTATGTGTGCTTTAACTCTTTTAAAACGAATTTTTTCAAACTTTGGTACTTGTATGTTAAGTTGTACTTGATATTCAATGCAAATAAAGTGAAACATATAAATTTTGATGAAATTAATTTAACTTGCATTATATAATGAAACATATACTTCTATATTTTTCAATGTTAATTAAATACTTTTTATAATAAATTTAATACTTTTTATAATAATTCAATAAAAAGATATATTTAAAATTTTTTGAATTAAATTATTGAATTAAATTATTGAATTATTGAATAAACTATTGAATTAAATTAGAAAATTCAATAGAATGCAATATATTAAAATATAACGTCATCATTGAATAAGTCAACACAAATATAGTTTATAATTGTTATAAATATCTTTATATTGTTAAAATAAATAAAAAATAAATTGTTGCTTTTTTCTCAATTTTTTTTTTTAATAATTCACGTGTGGTTGTCAACAAAACGTTTGCCTAACAAAATTACGGTTTAATGAGCTCGAGCAAAGGATTACGTACTCGAGCATTCGCATACGTCTCATGCGAGCAACTCTGGAAAATTGAAAGCAAATTGAGCCCTGTAATAAAGTAATTCTGCCCGGTACTCTGAAGATCACGATAAAAGAGCAATTGTGGAATTCGCTGCAGCTTGCAGTTAACTGTCCTCGTTTGTATACCCGTCCTGTATTATTTCATGTCTTCCAACCAGATTATACGTCTAGCAATTTTATTCGAAGGACCGTCCTCCTCCTTCGACTAAATGGCGACTCATCACTCGTCAACCGTGTTCGACTTAACCGTATTTCTGAATTTAATAACATTTCTTTTATGAATATTTCTTTTCTGAAAAATAATAGTGATGAATCTTTTTGATAAATTTAGTGAAATTTTGACTTGTATGTATCATATCAAGCATTCACTTGTCTTATTACTTACTATCAATAATTTTATCCAAATTCATCTTAATTTATAAAATTCTAATGGAATAAACGAAATCAATTAATCATAATTTCATAATATTACTTAGAAACGAATTATAAATAGTAATTTATTCAATAATTGAACAGAATTAACAGAAAAAAAATTCATGACATTACGGTTTCATGGCCTCACGAAGTACTAAATACACTAGCCTCCTTTCGTGATGCCATTTGCCAGACGATTCGCAACGCGCGATTCATAATCAATCGACCATCGAGCGATTCGAGACCTCTCCAGTATGGGTGCAGAAAATTTTTCTAACGGTTCAGGAAATCGTGGATCCCCGAGAATCTGTTCTACAATAGCATACCAATTATTCGCACCAAAGTGCGTGAAAACGTCAATAAGGGAAAAAAACAACGTGTCTCGAGATACTATTACGATATGATTTCAAAATCTGCATTCATAATCGCCCAAGTTGAAATTCTCACGAGGATTGCAAACTATTTTTCGAGGTGTGCATGATTATTTTTAATTATTTCCATAGAAAACTCTTTGTCATAAAAACTTCCAGTATAATAATTCTGATGTTAAAATCTAAGAACCTCTAATTCATCTTCAACAGATATTAATC